AAACCCACCCTAGAAATCCATGTGGCAAGGGGCCCCTGGAACTTGCACGGAACTGTCGCCTCCCCATGAGATGCCTCAAACGGACCTTCTTAATATCCTTAAGACCTCATACGATCCTTGCCGTAACCCGTACAGTCGCCCGCAACAAATCCTAGGATTCCCTATATAAAACGTGCATGTGGAACCTTCTCAGACTCCTTGTGATAGCAGCCCTACGGCAGCCTTGCAGAACTCTAACCCCTGAATCGTAAACCCTAAACCCTAAACGCTATAAACCCTGAAATCAGTCGACACTCCTAAGGGTCAGGTGGTATATACTTTGGCCTTAAAGTAATCTCTATTTAGGTGCTTTGGGGCCAAAAAAATATACTATTTGGGCACATGGACCCTCAAGGACTCTAAACCCGCTTCTGGAACCCCAAAGCAGCCCCTGAGGCGACCTTAGGGTTTAGGGTTTGGGGTTTAGGGGTTTAGGGTTTAGGGTTTAGGGTTTAGGGGTTTAGGGTTTAGGGTTTAGGGTTTAATCTGTTGTATTGAAGGGGCCCCCCCAAAAAAACAAAACCACCCCTAAGTCCCCTAAGCGCTATACCCTCAAAAAAAGTGGGCCCTAAAATCAAACAATACAAGTCCTACACCCCAGAATCCTCTATCCTAAAACCCCAAGCGCTAGAATCCTAAATCCTAAAATCCCTAGGCCACGGACTCCTGAATCCGGCAACCTGAAACCCCCGAAGCCTAAATCCCAATTGAGCCTTCAACTTCGGATCCTACAATGCTACAATCCTAAAAGCCTTAGCCCTTCAGGGTTTAGGGTTTAGGGTTTAGGGTCCGAAAACCCTATACCCTAAACCCTGATAGATCGCTGAGCGGATCCCTTAAAGGGTCCCTTACGGGATCCCTTAAAGGAACCTTTAATGGATCCCTAATGTCAGGGCCTTAATAATCAGAATAGGTTTTTGGGGGCCCACTATACTACGGTATACTGATAATACGGAACTCCCAACAAAATAGTATAGGTAATTATTACCCTAAGGCTCTAAGGACTCATATCTTAAGGCTTTTGGGCCCAAAGACCGTACTATATACGGCTCTTTGGCTGTTTTGACCTAAACCCTAAACCCAAACCCCTAAACCCTAAACCCTAAACTTTAAACCCTAAACCCTGGGCTATTTTGAGCCTTTGGGTTAAGGCCCCTTTTAAAAAATCCTCTACCCCCGGCGCCTTCCCTTCTCGCAGGCCGTCGTGGCTGCGTTGCAAGCGCTGACCTGTTTCTCGACCTCGGCTTTCGAGGTTTCCTTTGGGGTTTAGGGCTTATAAGGTTTAGGGTTCAGGGCTTGTAAGCTTGAGGGTCTAGGGTTTAGGTCTTGTAAATTTTAGGGTTGTAGGGTTTAGGGCTGATAAGGTTTAGGCGGTTTAGGGTTTAGGGTTGAGGGCTTATGGTGTTTAGGGATTACGAGTTTAGGGTTCATACGACTTCCTCCAGAGTCAGATCTTGCTCACCCTCTGGCTCAGCAAGAACAGCTGTACCTAGCCCCAAGGGTCTAAGTACCCAATAATCATATCTTCTCCCAAATAGTAACCTATATAACTACTATCCGAAACCTAAGTATCTTATTATTGGGTCCTTTGGACGCTTCGGGTAGTAGTCTCAGTGGGGCGAAGTACATGCCGTTTCATGATGTCTCTGCTCTATCACAACTGATTTGTCTGCTCCAATATTCCGATTTTCCGCTTGTACTCTAGGTAGTCTTCAGCCCGAGACTGAGACTGCAACGTCTCCATTGATTAACTTTTCTCTTGTAGCATTTGTAGCTCATTCTATAGCCAAGCTGGTGATCATAGAATTCAACCAAGAATTGATCACTTGTGTCAACCCATCGCCGCTGAACAAAGTTTCAGGTATTCACTCCACGATCTCTGTTTCATCCGTATCAGGATAAGCCACTTCTTTTGATCTGATGGCTTTTGTTGGGTATACCTGGGCCCTAAGAAACCTGCATTTGTGGGGCTAGTATTACATTATGAGTTCCGTATGTAAATGCTCAAAACGGTATGATGTTTCGGTTCCAGGTAGACGTTTGGATCCGTCGAAGCTTCAACAGGTCAGTAAGGCTCTTTTGCCCGAAGCCCAGCATTCTGGTAGAGTTTGGTGTTTCGGGCGTTCGCTGTCCAGATAGAGCTAGCCGGTGGCCAAACTGCATGCTCAATTGCGATGAAACTACATGCAGGCTGATCTAGATGTGGAAAAGAAACCTTCTTCAAGAGACATTCCTAAGCCCTATATCCTAACCTTGAAACCCTTAACCCAGCCATATAGACAACCCGCCTTAGAACCCTGACAGGGGGCCCTGATAAAACCCTACTCCAATCGCAAGTTTAACACACAAAAGTTGGACGTCCATATAACGGTCCATATAGAATCGAAGATGAGAGTTACAAAATATAAGTTATAGGTACTCTTATGCCGGGCCTGCTGTGCATGGAGCTGCCACAGCAGAAGGAGCGCCATTGGCCAGCAAAGCCCTGTCGGGTTCGGGCTTATGGGGTTTAAGGCCTGGGCCTGGGATTCGTGGGAGGGAGGGAGGGAGGGAGGG